TTGTATTTATTTGCATAATAGAAATTCAGAAGCCAGCTTGGCTAAGTGTGTCATTGAGGGCTTTATATGAGGTTCCTGTAGGGACATGTGTTTAACATTTGCAGTCAGATTATATACGTAGCATAACTTGCAGGAAAAAATGCTTTTTTGAGAGCAACAGAGTGTCCGTGACTGATTTTCTATGAATGTGTCCAACCCTTAATATCTTTTCAACTCTGTACCTGTTGCCCCTAAATGACACTCAGCCTTCCCTACAGCATACCTCCTCAGCTGGGCAAATGGTTATAGACACCGAGATTGAGGGTTCATTATGTGTGTGAATTGGCTAGTGGCTTGTTGCTCTCAAAATAAAAGGATAAATTGTAAGTCCCTTTTTCTCAGCAGTAGGTACGAAGTTGTGCCTGCCTTCACTAAGCATTACCTAGTTTTCCTGAAACCTCTGGGAATTTAAAATCTTTTAAATCTCCAGCAAGGTCAACATAAAGATCACTGCACACTAATATTAAAGTATTATTGCACTGTTTTACTTTCTGTTAGTAATAAATTCATAATATGCTGCATACTATGAAATAAAAAAGACAACATTTTTCCTGGTAGAAATGAAACCCTAAGCAAATTTTATTAAATGTATATATACTTTCTTCCTCTTTTTGAACCCCTGTCCATGTACCAAACAAGTTTTCAAAATTACTTCCCTTTTTTTAAAGGAAAAATTTTGTAAAATCAAAAAGTCACACCTCGGTTTCATGTAACTGACATGGCCATGAAACCCAGATCTTTTATTTATACTTGGGATAATGCAGAGGTAATGAAAGCAGAATTGAACCTAAGAGGGGTTTTTTTTCAATTATAAAACAATGTGGGTAAGAGGCTTGGATTTGACAGCAACAAAAGAAAGGGAATATTGTCTTCATGCCTTCAATCAGCTTTATTAGATCCTTAAAGGGAAAATCACATGAAAGGCAGAGGAAGAAAACAAAAAACTAAGCAAGATCCCAATTTTGGTGTAATTTGGAGAAAAAAAAACCTAATTTACGTGGGTTGTCTTGCCAGGGTGAATGACTCAAGGCTTCCAAACAAGAAATGGAAACCAGAGGGATAGTGAAAGCCTGAAAGAACAAATTGAGAAGATATGATTGACTGTAATATTTCAAAATCAACTGCTGTGAAGATGCGTTTGGGCTGTTGCCCAGAATACAATTGAATGGTGATGTTCATTTAGACGCTTAGTGCTGAAACAAAATAAGATGTAGCTGTGTTTCTGCTGGAGATTTACTTGTTCTTTCCAGTGTCTAGCTAGGAATAGGATGTCACGTCCTCTCTCTTCTATACATGCTGTGGTGACTGCTGCTGCTGTTCCATACTTTTTCTGAACACCAGTTTTCTGAAGGAAGGCCTGAATCCAGATGACAATATCTTTCAAATGTGAAATGTCATCACCATTCATTAGTTGACTGAAAAATTTTATGCACTGTGTGCAAGTAGGCTAACTCAGTGTTATTGACCAAGGAAAAGAAAAATACAAGATCATTGTGCATGTATGTAGTTTCTGTCTGATACAGCCACTCAAGTTTTTTGTTATTATCATGCTACTTTTTAAAATTAAGTAAATAGCTCATATTGCAAGGATTTCAAATAATTGTTCTTGTAATGGGCATGACTTGTAAAGCATTATCTGGAAAAATCTAGGGGCAACTACTTGCCCTCCACCTCAGGCAGAGACAGTTCTAAAAGAGACTATGCTTTATGCAGAAAATTAATCAGTTGTCAGTAGGCAGCAATGAGATGGGATTGTCTTCTACTTCCTCCTTTCCTTTATTCCTTTAATCTCACAGGCTGTGCTTACTAACTTTTTTTCTGTTTCTATTTCAAATGAGGAAGGAAAATAAAAAACAACCCTAAACCACAGTTCATAATTAAATACTGAGCTAGTTCTTACCATGTTTACTGAATTACATATCACATATATGGATGCTTTTCCTCAAAGTCTTCATGTGTTTTGAGATTTCTAAATTTAATGTGTTCCATAGGAATAGACCTTAACTCCTTTCTGTCTGTTTTTCATGATGAAATTTGCCTCTGTAGAGGAAAGGAGGAGTAAAGCAATGAAATCCAATTACAGACCTCTCAAAATTTTATGGATTTGTAGATGCATGAATATAGCTGCTGAGCTCTGCAGCTCCTGGTTCACAGTAGAGATTCCTCCAGCAAAAAAAATCTTCAGTGTTGACCTTACAGGTGCAATAACCAGATCAGCTTGACATGACATGCACAGAGATATCTTTGCACAGGTATCTTTGCCGCAGGGTGGGTGACCTAGTAAAGAGGGCTTTAAACCAGGAACCACAAGGGAGGGAGAGAGCTACCCAGCTCTGAGGGAGCAAGGGACAGGCTGACAAGCAATGTGCCTGGGGTGATGTGAGCAACCAGGAACACAAAATGAACAAAACAGAGCTCAAGTGGTGTGACCTCAAGCATTGGCATGTAAGCAAGGAAGTCTCTCCGAAGTGCCTGCACCATACCGCCCACAGCGTGGGATGTAAACATAAGGAATGAGAGATCTGTGTGCAGCTACAGGACTGGGATCTTTCTGGAATCTCAGAGCTGTGATGGATGGCTCACATGACCGGAGTGCTGCAATGGAGGGTACAAACTCTTTAGGAAGGACTGGGTTGAAATACAAGGGAGAGGAGTTCCCCTCACATTCTCTCTGAAAAGTTTTCCCTGAGATCCTCAGAGACCTTGGGAATGTTACAAGGTTTTTATATTCAATAACTGCATACATTTGAGTATACAAGAGGGCAACCTGGAAGAGAACCTCTACTGCTGTGAAAGGCTAGGTAATGCTGCTGTCTGCTTTTAGAACTGAGCTGTTGCTTTACACTGCATATTTCTCTGCTTATGCATCTCTTGCTAATGGGAAAATCTGAACCAAGCCTGGGTCTCCCTTTTTGTAGTCAGAGCTACACCTGTGAGTAGAGCAATGGAGTACTTTTCATTTTTCAACTCCAGTCATGTCAGAGTACTAGAAGTTCCAAATGGGATGACTATTGTAGGCAGGCTTACAGTTTTTTAGATGGAGCTGAAAGGAAGAAAGCATTTATAGGGATCTGTGTCCTTGAAGCTGATATCCTACTTGGACCTCAGTTACAGTTTGAGCTCACATTAAACTATGAATCACATGCTTAAAGGTAATCAACATTCCAATATTTGCTGAATCAGCCAGAATATACTCTGAAAATGTGTGAACTGTTGTAGACTGGTGGAATCCAGTGTATCTATACTGTTACATCCAAATCTATGTGGATAGATAATAGATATATGTATATGTTTATTTATTTGTTTGTTTGTGTTTGGAAATTGAGACTTCAGGGAAATTAAAACAGACAACTCAACTGTGTTTCTGAAATCTCCTACCTGAGGACTTTCAGTGTTTTGTCATTAAACCATTGTATAAATCAATATACAATCCAACTGTATAAAACACTCAAGATTTAGTTATTGTGGACTGGAATTCATAATTTGGTTACTTCAGAGGAAGAATAAGTGATATACCAACGCTGGAACATCTCACAAAGCCTTAATTATTTTATTCATATTGGAGCAGCTTAAGAAGAGAACTCCAGAGAAGCATTAGAAGAAGGGTGGAAAAAATAGTATAGCATTTGTGGTATTGTACATTCATGTGGGGAATATGAATTTGTTTTCCTTTGATGTGCACAGGATAACCGTAGGAGAATCTGTTGATGTGATGACTCTTACACACCCTACAAAATATTCCCAGTAATAGGCTGATTTAGAAAGGTGAATCACCACCTTTCAACATCACTACCTTTCAGTATTTTAATAAGACACTAATACTTCGTTTAAGAAGTGGTTTCTTCTGTAGACAGAATCCTCTTAGAATCTGAAAGAAGTATATAAATTCTGAAGATGGGTAAGTTGTAAGACATACCCTTGTTGGCTGGCAAGATAGCTTCTTGCTGATTCTGTTAGATGCTTTTGTGAACACTCCCCATGCACTACCTACATTAATATGGAGACCTAGCAAAAAATTAACTATGCCTATTTTTACTTCACCTGGGGATTTTGAGAGTTACCCATCATTTAAAGCATTCCCAAGACCAGTGTTATGCATCTATATTGGCCTTGTAAGCAGAGCTCTGGCTGCCTGCAAATATCGTGTGTGCTTGTAGTAGGATATAGATATATTAATATATATATGCACATGCACACATGTATATGCATACACACACACATATATATATAAAATGTAGATGATGCAAAACAAAGCATTGCAACAAGTGGATCTTTGCCTTTCAGGCCAGCTTCAGAAGCCAACAGCTATTGAAAACTTCATAGGAATTTATGGAGCCAGGCAAGAGAGAGGCAAAGATTTTAATGAGTACAGTAGCAAGATATTGCTCAAATGTTTTTTCTAAGATGAAATTCATACATTCTGTTATGGCTCTGTGAATAGCTAACATGTTAAAACTAAGCTGTCAAAAAAATACTTCCATCTATTTTGAGGGATATTTGCAACTAAATTTTAAAAGATGCCTTCACCTAGCATCTGAAGATGAGCATGCAGGTTTTTTGTATGCAACTTTCTGAAGTCACATCTTTTCCAAATCTGTATTTTGTGACTTCAGGTTTTAATGTGATTATTGCTATGTCAAGAAAATTAATACAATGAAATAATACTTCCTCTTCTTTCATAAAACTGTTCCTTCTCCTTTATATACATTTTCTTGTCTACTCAGGAAAAAAATGATCAAATTTTTACTTATTCATTGCTGATTTTTTAATATCATCTCACCAGCACATAATAGAAACCGTAGCACATTAGTTACTCAGCAACTCAGCAGATAATCTGTCTTTATGCTTGGAAATGCTGAAAGGTTGGTTGCTTTACTCAAAAGTGAAAATAGAATTGGCAGTATGGTAATTATATGTTGTTCATCCGTATATAAATAATTTTATTTTTTTTTCTTCAATAGATTGCTTGGCTTCTACAAAGGAATATTTCCTCCCATCTTGGCTGAGACACCTAAAAGGGCAGTGAAGGTAAAAATGCCATATTTCCTCCTTTAAAAACAAGAGTAAGGAGAGTGGCAGCTGTAAAGCATTCGCTTTCTCCCCCACTGATTGGCATTAAAATCTTCAACTTATGTGTCATATTAATCCCCTTCCTTTTACTGGGAGAACTTTCCTATTGACAACACAATAAAAACTGTGCTTGTTTAAGAAGCGTAGAATAAGGCTCTAAATGATAGGCTATTTTTGACCCATATAGATAATGATACTGAAAAACAAATTTCTATTATATTATACAATCAAAGTTAATAAAATATTTTAAGTTGTGTTTTAGCCTCACAATAACATCTGGTTTAGACATTTTGTTTTACTGAAAATGTCTAGCAGCTTGCAAAACAAGTAAGAACAGCTTAATAAACTATCACAAGAAGCCATTAAAGAAGCCACTCCTAGTAAGTTCTTACTCAGTAACTTGAAGTGGTGTATCTGTAGGTTTGAAGTGCTGTCCAGAGTTTTTTAACTCCAAAGAGCACTCCACTCCATACTTTCACTTTTTTACAGATTGGAAGTAGCAATGGGTGAAAATTGTCATCGTACAAAGAACATTTCACTTCAGCTGCCTTACTGTCAAAATAGATGCTAGCCTATCTAAGCGTATTTGCTGTCAAATGTTTATCAGATTTTATTAGCTTTACATTCATTTGTAGAGCATTATTTTACTAACATTCCTAAGAAAAATATATCAATACATTTTTTTTTCAGTTGTCATGCAACCTTTTTAATTAAAACCTAGTGATTAAGCACCTCATCTTAAAGTTCTAAATGTATCAAAGCATCCATTGTGTTACGAGCAAAAGTTTATTTGTCTTCAGAACCCTGAAGTTTCCTGTAGTTGCACCAAATGTTTCTAAAAGACCTATTAGACAAAATATCTTGATTTTCCATTCTTTCTCTTTTTGTTTCTTTCTAGAAAGCTTGTATATGATTCTGGTCCTTGGTCTGCAATTAATCATTCACATTCAAATTCCTTTACAGAAGAATAATATTTATATAAAGGGACAGGATGTGACCTTGTAACAGAATCCTAAAGCAGTTCTGGAAATGTCATCTTCTTGTTTGCATTGGCATTTTAGATGCAAACAACATATGTCACCTGTCTCAAAATTATTTACTTCAACTAAGAACACTAAAGTTCTGTCTATTAGCAAAGTGATAGTGAAGAATAGATGGATAATATTTAGAAGAATCCTAATAGCTCATTTTCTTTGGACTGTGATGTTTCCTCTGTCTCTCCATTTCATTTTGTTTGAAGCAAGTCAGGGTCAATCTGATCAGGCTTGTTAGATTCCAGCGTATATTTAGTTAAAATGCAAACCCAAGCTTGATTTGTCTTCTACCAACCTGAGTGATTCAAAAATCATGAGTCACTTACTCTTACTCAAATTGATTAAATTGGCTTAAACCACATAATATTCAATATAATTATAGAACCATGTATTTAAGTTGGGAGGGATTTCTGGAGGTCATCTGCTGAGCCTCCTGCTCAAAACAAGCTGACTTCACAGTTAGGTCAGGTTGCTTGGAAGCTTTGTCTAGCCGGGTTCTGAAAATCTTCAAGGATGGGAACTGCAGCCTCTATGTGCTCCTGCTCCAGTGCTAAATCGCTTTCACTGTAAAGCATTTGCCTTATATCCAATTTGAATTCCCCTATTCCCCTGCCTGACAAGCCTTTGACACTGTTTCCCTCAGCATTCTCCTGTGGAAATTGGCTGCTCACAGCTTGGATGGGCATATGCTTTGCTGGGTAAAACCGTGTGTTGATGGACAGGAATTAAATCCAATTGGTAGCCCATCCCAAGTGGTGTTCCCCAGGGTTCAGCATTTGGGCCAGTTCTATTTTATATCTTTGTCAATGACATGGACAAGGGGATTGCATGCATCCTCAGCAAATTTGCAAATGACACCAAGTTGGGTGGGAGTGTTGATCTGCTTTGAGGGTAGGAAGGCTCTACAGAGAGACCTGGACAGGCTGGATCAATGGGCTGGGGCCAATTGTGTGAGGTTCAACAAGCTCAGGTGCCAGGTCTTGCACTTGGGACACAAAAACCCCATGCAACACTCCAGTCTTGGGGAAGAGTGGCTGGGAAGCTGCCCAGAAGAAAAGGACCTGGAGGTGTTGGTCAGCAGCTGGCTGAATATGAGCTAGCAGTGTGGCCAGGAGACCAAGGCAGCCAACCACATCCTGGCTTATTGTGACCTTAGAAATAGTGCAGCCAGCAGGACTAGGAAGTGATAGTCCTTCTGTACTTGGCACTGGTGAGGCTGCACCTCGAATACTGTGTTCAGAATACTGTGTTCAGCACCTCACTACGAGAAGGACATTGAGGTGCTGGAGCATGTCCAAAGAATGTCAACAAAGTTGGTGAAAGGTCTAGAGCGCAAGCCTTATGAGGAGCATCTGAGGGAACTGGGGTTGTTTAACGTGGAGAAGAGCAGGCTGAGGGGAGACCTTGTTGCTCTCTACAACTACCTGATAGGAGGTTGTAGTGAAGTGAGAGTCAAAATCTTCTCCCTAGCAACAAGCAAAAGGGCAAGAGGAAAAGCTCTCAAGTTGTGCCAGGGGAGGTTTACATTGGATGTTAGGAAAATTTTATTTATTGAAAGAGTTATCAGGCACTGGAACAGGCTGCCAGGGGAAATGGTGGAGTCACTATCCCTGGAGATACTTAAAAGCTGTGTAGATGTGGCACTTAGGAATGTGATTTAGTGGTGGACTAGGCAGTGTTGGGTTAACGGTTGGACCTGATGATCTTGAAGGTCTTTTCTGACCTAAACAATTCTATGGTTCTGTGATTCTATTATTCTAATTTCTAACATCCAAAGTGGAGTTTGTACCCATGCTTTGACCTGAAGAGAATCCAGCTTGGCTCAAATTTCCATTAACCTTACTTGGGTAGCAACCCAACCAAAACATCACTGCTTCCTTTGGCTCTTTCTCCACCTTTTATTCTTCTAATAGTTTGCTTAATTTTAACAGTCCCCAGGATATCTTGTCCACTGCCAAACTGACTAGTGAGATTTAGATGAAGACTGTGTTCATGCCTATGGTCTTGAGATTTGAGAAAGCACAAAAGGCAGAGAGGTAATTTCTAGGTTCCAGAAACCTTGGTTGGTGTTTGTAATGAACTTTTTTGAAAACTTCTAGTTATAGTGTCTTTTATGTTTGATAAAAGCATATAGAGAACGGACAAAGGAGATTTCTTACTAAGAAGAAATGTACTTGGACTACTAGAATATTGTCTCTATCTGGTGTAGATATTTGCAACTAAAAATAAAACTACTAAAATGAAGTTATTTAGCCGTAGTTATTCAACTAAGTGTTGAAGATACTGTTTCGCTTTTAGTCAACTATATTCGTATGTCTGTCTTGCTGTTTCTTGTTTTCTCTCTCTCTTATTTCCCTTCTAAAAAGAAATCTGGTATTTCTGGAAGACGAAAAATCAAAGTTTATAACTTTATGTTAGATTGAACTCGGAGGAAAGAAGTGATTATGCCAATACAATGGTTAACAGATGAACTTTTGGGGCATTGTTCATGTGTTCCCAGACATCTTGTTTCAAGCATATATTTTTACCTTAGAGTTATTGAGCCATCTGGTAAGTACTTTGGCTATTTTCTGTGTAACTTGAATTAAAGTGTATCTTTGCCAGATGGACAATATTCGTTATTTTATACACAAAAACATGTTTTAAATACATTTATTCTGAGACTTTTTTTTGTGTGTGTGTAAAGATATTAACTTTACACAACTATACAGAAAAAGACAAATTATGCTGTGTCTTTAAAAACGTTTTGGGTAGACATACATCATATAAATCCATATGATATAGCTAGTACTTTTTTGGCAAAATTGTATGTATACTGGCCGCTCTAGTACACTCGGCAACATTTACATTGGATTTTATTGCTGCTGATTTGTTTTATTATTTTTTTTAAATATAAAACATAGCTATGGTTAAGTAGTTGTGTTATTTATTACTCTAGGAAGCTATTGATTTTTAAGGTAGCATTTTTAAGACCAAAAAATTGCTAGGTAATGTATTTCTGCCCCTATTACAATGATTTTTCAGATCTAGAACACTTTGGAAAACATTAAGGAATACCAGAAATTCCATTAAGGGTTAGGAGGGTAACAATGAGTAGAAAGATGCTGGAGAGAGAATAAAGCAAACTTTAACACAGTAAGAAACTGATTTAGTTTTGTAAAGCAACTTATCCAACCCAGAACTGACACTTTTCTCAGAGACTTCATTATATCTATAAAATATCTTCAGTTTTCCAAAAAGATGGATAACTTTTTGTCTCAATAACACTTCTATTTTGTTTGATTGTTGGCAAGACCCAAACAGTAATTTTAAGCATGTTTGCAGGATGTTTACAGGATTAGTGTTCAATCTGTACAGAATTTAGAGGGCAAATAAAATCTGGGCCCCAATTCTCAGAACTTTACTGCAAAACGAAATAATAATACCTGCTGAGAATTTTTTAAAGTATCTATCCACTGACTAGAGCATAAATCCTTCAGTTTTCAGAATTTAACATCCTGATTTTGCATTATGTATGAAATTTCCTTCCTGCTTCAAATGTGGCAGCATTATCAACACATTAACAACCAGTTCTCTGTTGGGTTTGGTGGGATTCTAGTGACTTTTCATTTGAAGCAGGTCTTCATTGAATAATGTTATTGACTTTGCCATGCAACAGGGTTCTGAACAAGTTAAAATGACAATGTAGTGCTTATTATTCATGTTTCTGTACACACAATTTAGGGAAAAGCTGGTTTGTTCTGATACATCTGTGGTAGCTAAGCCCTAAAGGACTGAGCTTGTCTTTTTTGGAGGTGAAAGGCATCTGCATATGTCAATGGGAAGCTTCTTACTGACTTCAACACTGTCAGGGTCGTTCTCAACAAAGCTGTTAATTTATTCCACTTTGATGTCTATAAGATTGCACAAAAATTATTTTGGAAATTAATAGATTTGGATGGTAAGAAGCTCTGGGTTACAAAGTCAACCAGTTATAGGTGGTTGCCTTTCTCGGTCTTGGTGCAGGTAAAACTGAGCTTCTCATTCCTTCCTTGAAGTTCAAACAGAAACAAGTACAGCTTTCAAAACCCACCCTTTAAGGAACCTCAGATGCTCAGAACTACTAAGCACTGCTGCCTGAAAGCAGACAATTGGAGAAATTATTTATTTGTAAAGAGCAAAAACTAGAAGAAATGTGTCTGTGTACAACAATAGATTATAAAAATCTACAGATTTTCCATCTTCAAAATCTGCAATTACATCTCTCTGATGAAAAGTATACTAATATCTGAGAAATATGTAAGTGATTGCACTATATTGTATTAAAGATGTGAAGGTGATTTCTTGGGAGAAATTATAGTCTCTGCTACTGCATTTATACCAGTATATGTAAATGAGGAAATGTGTAGAAATTAAAACCATGAACCATGTCATAGCAAACTCTTACGTAAAATATTAGTTTATTTGCACTTATACTGCAGTTATGCATGAGAAGCTAATAAAATCAGTTCTGAAGTCTAATTTTTGCACATCTAACACTGCTACAGATCATGTGAAAGAAAATTTGCTCCTGTTTATTTTGCAGATCTCCACACAATTATTCAGAATACAAGCTCCACTTTAGTTTGGTTTTGCTCATTTGCATAAGTAACTCGTAATTTTTTCAATGCCATTTCAGTCTAACTTTTATTTACAGTTTTTCACCTTTGAACAATACAAGAAGCTACTAGGATATGCATCATTACCGCCAGGACTGGTATGTATGGATACAGACCTTGATGCTCTCAGTTAAGATGTGTGTACTGAACAGTCCCACCCATTCCCTCCCTTAGAAGGAGCTCAAAATGAAAGGCACCAATTCAAGTAACAGTTTTTCAGAACAAACTTGTACCTTGAAAAAACTGATAACAGAATTTATCAAAAATATAGTTAATGTTAATTTTTATTTCAAATGTCTTCAAAATAATTCTCTACAATATCAAGAGAGAAATAAAATTAAATACAACAAGGGCAAGGGCTGAGTCTTGAATCTGCAGAAGAACAACCCCTTGTACCAGTACAGGTTGGGGGCTGACCTGTTGGAGAGCAGCATAGGGGAAAGAGACCTGGGGGTCCTGGTGGACAGGAGGATGACCATGAGCCAGCAATGTGCCCTTGTGGCCAAGAAGGCCAATGGCATCCTGGGGTGCATTAGAAAGGGTGTGGTTAGTCAGTCAAGAGAGGTTCTCCTCCCCCTCTATTCTGCATTGGTGAGGCCGCATCTGGAATATTGTGTCCAGTTCTGGGCCCCTCAGTTCAAGAAGAACAAGGAACTGCTTGAAAGAGTCCAGCGCAGAGTCACAGAGATGATGAAGGGAGTGGAACATCTCTCTTATGAGGAAAGGCTGAGGGAGCTGGGTCTCATTTGCTCAGAGAAGAGGACACTGAGGGGCGTCCTCATCAATGTTTGCGAATGTGTAGAAGGTGAGTGTAAGGAGGATGGAACCAGGATCTTCTCAGTGATGTCCATTGATAGGACAAGGGGCAATGGATACAAGCTGAGCATAAGAGGTTCCACGTAAACATGAGGAAAACCTTTTTCACTGTGAGGGTGGCAGAGCACTGGAACAGGCTGCCCAGGGAGGTTGTGGAGTCTCCTTCACTGGAGACTTTCAAAACCCGCCTGGACACGTTCCTGTGTGATGTGCTCTAGGTGATCCTGCTCTGGCAGGGGGGTTAGAATAGATGATCTTTCAGGTCCCTTCCAACCTCTAACATTTTGTGATTCTGTGATTCTGTAATTCTGCTATCATGCCATTTGGAATAAAAAAATAAAAAACCAAACCAAAACAAAATACTTCTTATAGAAGTTCTTGTTTATAAGAATTTTTTTATAAGAATTGCTTTCTGTGGTGTAAGAGTGTGAATAATAATAAACATATGTTTTCACAATCATGAGATCACAACTCAAGAAACAATTGATGTCTTCCTGGTTACCTATAAAGGTTTTCATAATTAATGTTTCCCGGTGCTGACCATGATAATAGTTTCAGAAAAATCTTTTTAAAAGATGCACATAACTTCTATGTAAGGACAGTTTTTCTGAAAATCATGTTTAATTTAAAGGTAATTTTTAACTAGTGAGTTGTTTCATTCTTGAACATTTTAAAGAAGTTTTAATTCAATATTTCTACTCTGTTGCTTCCTTTCAGTCTACTTACTTGGCATTTGTTAAACATTTTTTTCCTCTGAAAACACTCCTACATTTTTCTTATACTCAGTATATTGATGTATCAGAACACTAAACAAGACTAAAAATGTTAATTATCTGGAGGGTGGTAAATACACTCTAACAAAAATAAAATTCTGAACACCTGTATTATAGCTTTTTTGGTCAAATGAGATTTGAATTGAAATTTGTTATATAGTTTTAGCTGTCAAGAGAGAAGTTTGTGATAACTGAAGGAAATATGTAAACTCTTGTCTTATAGGAAGAAATATAAGTCTCCACACCATGTGAACTAAAATGACATTGAAAAAAAAGGAGACATTTCTTTTATCATTAATTCAGGTCTCTTCCAAACAGTATTACTGCCATTTACATTTGCCTTCCAGTGTGACAACTGAATGATCATGGAAGCATATTAACCAGTTTAAAGCAAGTTTCCTCTTCCTCTTAGTTATTCCCCTGACTACGTAGTTGTTTAGAGTATCTCCTCTTTTATCTTGTTGGGTTTTTATTAGTAGGCTCTTCTCTTCCTTAAATGCAAATAAGTAATATTTGTTCTCTAGCAAGAGGAAAGAACAGAGTTTAAGATTACATCATCATTTTTTGTTGTTTTGTTGTTTGTTTTTTTGAGGAAAATGTGCTGCAAACTTATGCAATAGCTGACCAAAAGCTGCTTGGGTTCATGTAGTAGATGGAGCAACCATTAGACACCTCTGACAATTCTGCTACCATAGAGGCATTTTTTCCCCTAAAATAACCATGGTAGCAAGGGAAAAAAAGAAGACTGAGAGGGTCTAAGCTATGCAGAATGCCTCTCAGTCCCTCAAGAAACCACGTATCAAGACAATATTTATTGTTAAAAGCGAAATGCGTACGAATGTTACTAATGTGTGCATTAGCAACATCTTCCTACAGGCTTCAGTCTCATGGTTGATAGTGAAGGGGATAGGTTATGTTCCCATCTCATAGTGGAAAAATAGATTTGTTGGTAACACAGTGTTTTCCAAAGGTGGTAAGGCTGGAGCTTGCCACTGCCCTCCTAACTTACCATTCTTCTCTTTCTTTAGCTTTCAAGAGTCCCAACTCAAATTCCTCTGTGCTGAAAAAGTTCCTTTTCTCACCATTGTTTTTTTCCTTACCATTGGTTTCCTTGAATTTCAGCAAATGTGCTCAATATACTGTGTTTTGAATGCTGGGTCTCTTTTCAGCCAGTAGAAAGTTTAGAGATGCTAAATGGAGGCAATAAGGCAATAAATGAGTAACATTATCCAAAAAAATGACCCCTCTGAATTTTCTCAATTTATCTAAATATTTCAATATTATTATTCTTTTGCAAACCAATTCACATGTTTTAAAATGCTGTGTGATGATGGAAAGCAAAGCAGTGAATATCACCATTTTATGGCTGTGAGGTACCATCAACTTCTAAGTAAATTGAATTAATTCATTCTTGCAGAGGATGACATTTTTGTGTGTACTACTCATTCCCTTATAAGCCTTTTTAGGATTGATATTTTCTTAGGAGAACTTTTCTTCTACATGTGCAATTTGCTTAAGTACTACACTATTTGGATTTCTTACATTTCTTGTAATCTTTTAAGTTAATATATGAGTGTTATGTGCTTAATGTTCCATGCAGAGTTGTTGTTTTTTTCCAGGCATAACTGCCTTTCTATTTGTGCTTTTATTCAGACTCCACACAAAGATAACATGAGGGCATTGTTTTTCCATGTTTTAATAATAAATTGGTATTACAATTTTTCTTCCAGCTGAAAAGATAATTAATTGACAGTGCTATGACATTTTATTTATTTTTTTGGGGACGTGGTTCATGGCTATTGTCATATTGCCTTCATGAACTGTCAGCATCTGATCAAGAACTAAAGTTTAGTAATAGAGCACTGCTGCGTTACTGTAACCTTGCAGTTTGCATTGTACAATTTAGTTTCGTAATCTGATGTATGGGAAATTTAACTCCTTAATTTTTAACTTCAATTTTAACTTTCCTAGGCATTTGCTGTTGCTGGCTTGGGATCTGGGTTGACAGAGGCAATTGTGGTCAACCCTTTTGAAGTAGTAAAGGTTACCTTGCAGGCAAACCGGGATGTCTTCACAGAGGTATGAGAATTGCTCCATTCTTCTTTTTCTGGTTAATTAGGCACTTCAAGGTGCATACCTAGAGCAGAATGTCTACAATATATTGAGTTGATGCAGATTATTTTCCCACAAGTTTAACAGAAATGGAAAAAGAGAGAAGAGACTTGGTAGACAATGCCTTCAGACATGAAGAGGTATAGACAATATCGTCAGTGGTGTCAGCATCTCCGTTGCAAAAATTCTGTGCCTGAAGTGCACCTCCATACCTCTAGAGCAGCCAGCTGCCCAACACTGTGAGGAATTGTAATCCAAAAGTAGGAACCTGAGCCCCTTGTACATGATGCATTTGCTCCAGCATGTCCACCCTTCAAATGAACTCCAAAGGTTAGCTTAAAACACCACGGCTCCATGCCCTAGCCAGGGTCCATCTGGTGTATTTTTTGCTAAAATGGAGCTGGTATATTTCAGAGTACTGGGTGAAATTATTTTTATTATACCTTTTCACATTTATAAGCACAGACTGGGAAATAGTCACATAATAAAGCACACAAATAATTTAAATTTATTTCACTTCATAGTTTTATTATTCCAATATTGTTTCATTCAAATAAGTCAATGAGCAAAACTGACTTTGTCCATGGTTCCGGCTACTGCTGAGAGGGGAAAAAGATTAAACTGGAGAATAGTGAATTATTCAGTTCAATGTTTAGACATCTTTTAACTATGAGCAGCAAAGCCACTTTAACAGAGAGCTAAAACAGTACAGAAGTAAAAAGGTTAGGGTATGGGAAGGAGAGAGATTGAAAGTGGGATAAAGCAGTGCATCAGAGGATTTCTTTCTCAGAAAGGCGATATGAAAAAATTATGGTCTACTACTGGTCCAGCAGTAGTAAACTAAGCAGATATTCTAGATCTTTCTGCCTCCCAGTTGTGAAGATACAATTAACTTACCTGAATAAAACCTCTGGTTTTGAGTGTAAATATAGCAGTATTATATTTTGAGCAAACTAGTTCCTGTGAAGTTGCAAGAGACCCATATATCCTTTCACTTCACACATTTTATTTTTTTTTTATCTATTGTAAAATTTATAACAGAGTTTGGAGTGTTTTAGTAAATTTTATGCAACTACTTACTTTAATTACAGCATCCCTTAAATCACAGGCATACCATTTTTTAATATATCTTTAAAAGGTGTTAGAATTTCACATCTTGCAGTAAATCAGGAAAACTCCAGTAACTTCATTACTGTGATCTCAAGTTATAATAACTCATTAATAATTTGTTAGAATTCCACAGTAAGATTCCAAACTAAAGTATGTAAAATCGAGCCTATTGTATGTTATGTCATACAGCATAAAGCTGTACACTCATTTCAATCCCATGCACTGTTTTTCCAAAAGGTTTAAGTAAAGTATGTGCCTATCCCATTGTGTAGCTTTCATACTATCTGATGAAACCTAATGCAGTTCACATATTTCTTTGACTATTGTATTGAAATAATAAATATATCTTGTTTGAAAGGAACAAGGAAGAGCATGAACACGTACACCCACACCCAGACTCTTGCACACCCCCAAAGCAAATATTCACACACTACGGTGACAACTGAATTATTCTCTGGTACCAGATCATCTTTCTAGGTCTGACAGGTTTAAAGAGGAAAGCCACTATAAATCACTTATAGACACTTGTAATGTGGATTGCCACAGGTAAAAATAACGGTGACTGTTTTTAAAGTAAACTGCTAGAAAGCCTAACACATTTTTTTGGGTGGATTTTGTTTGGTTGGTTGGGTTTTTTTGTACCTCTAGCCATGGATAACTCACTGGCTATGGAAGCTGGTGTGGTAAAAAAATCTCACCTTCCTTAAGAGTTGTGATTAATTAAACAAACACAAGTTTCTGCTTTATGATGAGAAGAATCTGACTCTGGATTCTACTGACTAGTTCTCTATTTAGTATAAGTCAACAGCTGTGTAAAGTGAATTGAATTGAATAAATTCCTCCATCTGAATTAGTCACCCTGAGGTCCTTCCATCATCAGTGGCAAAGCAGACCTATGGCTTGATCAGGTGTTATTTTATATGCTAACTGTGGGTGAAGTGAAGTGCTGTCTAGCAAAGCCCTCTTTATTGCTAAAGGACTGAAAAAGGGAGCCTTTTTGAGTACCTCAGATGTATATGTAGATACAGCAGATATCTATATTTGGACTGATGAATCCCATCACAGGTGTTCAGCAAGTGATAGGCTTCTTATCCAAGTCATGAGTAAATGTGTATGTAAGATGAGACCAAGGGATACTACGGAAAGTTGCTGCATTCAGCTTAAATTGCTTTGTTCAGCATACCAGTTATTTTTTTAAGATCTAATCCTCATGCTTTGTGTATGAGAAATGATGTTATTGCTAGTATCTGGACCATAGTCCATATTGGATTTCTACATTCTAGGACAGATTCTGATTTGAATCCCTGGTAATAGAAAAGCAAACTATAGTAAAATGTATGCAGAGCATTAACAGGATAATATTATTTGCCAAATATAAAAAACCAGAATGAAATTTAGTATTAAAGACTAAACTTGTCAGTCACCTAAATAAACAGTCATACACTGTGTCAGATAAAAGAGGCATCATTTGCTGATGCTGTTGATCTACCACAGTGATATTTTGAAATGGAAAGCTATTAAACAAATAAGTGGATTGAAATTAGCAGTGCTCACAGTGTTCTAGTCAAAATTTCTCTATATTTTCATGTTTGAGACTCCTAGTGGAAGTTGTGTTTTGCCTTTCTAATTAAATATTTGGTTACCTAGAGCTGGCTTAATGCTTTGGAGAAAGCCATACTTGAGGCAACAACATTTTGAAAGAAACTCTTTTATAATACTGCTAGGAGTAAATCTGAAATATTCCAAAGGGGAGCACTTGATTTTAAGTATAACAGTATATTGGAAAATAGATCAAATGTGTATGTAGTCAGAGAGATCCTGTCTGGGGAACTGATCATTAGTGATGATCATAAGTGGATCACTGATCATTAGTGATCCATCATAAGTGGATTCTGAGGAAGTTTCTTCCTTTCTGCTTTTTGTTAAATGGAAGTTGGCTGACTAAAATTATTTCCAGACCTCTTGGGAATTATTTTCTAAACAGAGTATCTAAAGTCAATTTCTTAAATCTGTTCATTGGGATTTAAATGAGTGTTTTGATTTTCAAAATCTAGGTACACTTTTTAAGACACATAATTATTTTGGAGTGCAAAACAGGATTTTCAGTTGGAAGCTTAAGAAAAAAATAATTACTTAATAGAAAAAGCCTCACCTTTTTTCAAGATTTTCAACACTAGAAGAAGAAGGTTTCACATGTGATTTGGTTTAAAACATATTGTGTACCTAATAACTCCCTCAAAAGCCAGTGTCTTACAGCAGTGGTTTGCTCTCTTAGCAGCATGAAGAGCCACAGAGCATCTACTAGAGTTCCCAGATCATATATATATGCCTTTTGTCACCCTTCAAACCTATTCCTAACATTGAATCTGGAAACTGCAAAATTATCTTCCAGACAAATCTTTACAGCTTCTCTTACTACTCTCATTTGTGGCTCCCAGGGACTTCCTTCCCTAGACATAATGGCGCAAAAATTTCCTGTTGCAATTTTGTCCCTTTTATCCCTGGAGCATGAGGAAAGGCTGAAAGACCTGGGGCTGTTTAGTCTTGAGAAGACCAAGAGGGGATCTTATTATATAAATATCTGAAGGGTGGGTGTCAAGAAGGAAGGGCCAATCTCTTTTCAGTCATGCCCTGTGATAGGACAAGGGGCAAGGGATGCAAACAAGAGCACAGGAAGTTCCATCTCAACATGAGGAAAAGCTTCTTTACTGTAAGAGTTACAGAGCACTGGAACAGGCTTCCCAGAGAGGTTGTGGAGTCTCCTTCTTGGAGATTTTCAAGACCCATCTGATGAGTTTCTGTGTGACCTGCCCTAGGTTCAGTGGTAATCCTGCTCTGGCAGCACGACTGGACTTGACAATCTCCAGAGGTCCCTCCTAGCCCCTAACATTCTGTGATTCTGTGATCACTCCCTCACTGTGCATGTTCCTATGCTGTTGGTTTTACTAGAGAAGCTGGTTTTAGCTTTTTATTGTCCAGAATAATTGTTATATAATCTAGTTGTGTAAGAGTTTCATCTGTCGTAATCTTAAGAAAACATCAATGATAAAAAAATTACTGCTGAATTCATACGCTGAAAGCCACATGTTGTGCTGTGGAATCTTTTATGAATTATTTTTTCATGACCTTTTCCTTTGCTTTAGGGATCCTTAGTCTTTTACAGTACTCAGGTCATACTTGAATTTTTTTTTCTGCAAGCAGAAAAACAAATTCTGGTTTTTTTTTTAATGGAAGTTGTGATTTTTACATAAAGGGAAAATAACAAATATGATGAGACTCAAGATAAAATTACAAGAATTGGCAACACTGTGTTTGTCAACAGGATTGAAATGGTGCTATGGTTATTGTTTTCTTTTTGTAAAGATGATCTCTTCCTTCTTTTGCTTAACTTGTGTAGCAACCATCTAGCTTTGTTCAAGCTCGGCAGATTATTAAATCCGAGGGTCTGGGCTTCCAAGGACTCAACAAAGGTCTTACTGCAACATTGGGTCGTCACGGAGTTTTTAACATGGTTTACTTTGGATTCTACTTCAATGTGAAAACCATTCTTCCAGTCAATAAAGTAAGTTCTTCATGCAGTGCAACAGACAAATGGATGAGAAGTCTGGCAATTTAATTAACACTGTATTTTTCTGTGCAAGCTGTAGCATTTAGCAATAAATAGTGATTAACCTAACTCTCTGGTTTTGCAGAAATTTATAGCATTTTAGTGGAAGAAATCCAAGAATTTGTACTTCTCACTTTTTAAGCAAAGCTGGGTATAAATAAAATAGTAATGTTTGAATTCTCATTTTTATACATTTTGCTTTATACCATGGTAGCAATGTAAAAAGGCAGGAATCAAGAAACAAGCATATTATGTTTATGCTAATTATGTATGCACACTTTTTGTGGTAAACTGGCTTAGAAGAGAACAATGGGCTCATAGAACTTCTTTCAGTATTCATAAAGCAAGGGGTGAAGCTTGAGATGATGGCAGAGCTGCAGTAGGTAGGGTGTTCTGGCCATGCACCAGGCCTGTCTACTCAAAGAGAGTTCAACCTAGTGTTGAAGGATTACAGAGCAGATTTAGCCATATGGGAGAGAGCCAGCCCAAAACAAGTCCTGCACAGGGGCTTATGTAGTTTGTATGTCTAAAAAAAAAACCAAAAAAAACCAAAAAAAAAAAAAACCAATCTTTATAGCTGTAATTTCTCTTGAAGCTACTTTATTTTATGGTCTTATATTCCTTCACATAACAAAGGAAACATTTCCCTTTACAACAAAGGTAAATTGTACTAATGAGAACATGGTAGTATTGGCAACCTCCTAAATGACTGTGTGAGCAACAGCTAATGGTTTATTAATGACTCCAGTGTGTTACTTACTGAACTGTATTTTCACTAATGTGATTTTTAGATGATGACAGTTAAACAGTCACAGGTGTAATATGTAGTGATATTCGTATAAGAAGCTGCAACTTACATCAAAATGGATCAGTTTCTATTCCCAGATGAAGTAACACTTTTTTTTTTCTGCACTTCGGAGAAGCTTGTTATTTTTGTTGGCAACTTTGTGTAAATGGAGAAAAGCTCCATTTCTTATTTGCAGATCGTTACAGTAAATTGAATTGTCCACGAGTAGGTAACCCATAAGTTTCTACAAGTTTCTTTTAGTGTATTTAAGCATACTTTACCATGTACTTTAATCACACATTCTAAAAACTCAAGGCACAAGCATATCTTGATACTGAGATAGGAGTAATCATATTTATGTGGATCAAAAGATGAAAAAATTATAATTGCTATGCAGAACACTCAGAATCATATGCAGGTAAGGACAGAGGCGTGTGTGCAGCTTCTGTGGAAATCCTGACGTGCTCTTGTATAGCCATTGAAGAATAGTAACAGTATTTGGCACAACCATGCTTTCCCAGCCTTTCAGATTAATATTTTTTTTTAATGGGAAAACATATTCAATTATTAGAAAGATTCAGAGATTTATGATCTGAGAGAAATTAGAACTTTGTACAAATTTGGTGCATTACAGAGAATTGTTTAACATCTACAACATAGATGTAAATACATTCGAAAATTAAAAAGAAATTACTTCAATGGTGTCAGCCCAGTGGCCCAGCTGTTCTGTACATGCTATTAAAAGCAAAAGACAATTTATCAGTGCAGGATTAGATTGCATTACCTGCAAGCAAGCAGAGACATTTGCCTTGTGCTTGACTAGTGCACAGTAGCTTGCACAGTGGCTCTCTCAGTGACTACACCTGTGCTAGTAAATTGAGCAGCGTCACTGAAATTCAGTAATTTGTGCTGTTAGATGTTCCCTGGCACAGCTTTGGCCCAGGGCAGCCAACACTGTTCCTGGGTACAACTGAGGAGCTAGCAGAGAAATGGAATAATTCCTAATAGTCACATTTCATGCAGCCATTCAGTTTTGAACAGTAATAGCATTTAATAATGCAAATAAAGTTAATAGGATGCTCCAGGCCAGCAGGCATCAATGTCATAGATAGGTGTGTGCATATCGATATAGCCAATAATTCTGATCAAACTGGCACTGAAATCAATGCAAATCTTGCCCTGAATTTAACAGGGTACAGATCAGATCTCATCTGGCTTGTTCTTACCTACACTTATGTCTCAGGTGATGACATGCATTGAACTTCACTTCAGTGACTGGAAAACAGAAGATTCAAAAACTATGATATTTAACTCAAGCCTTTTCCGTCAGTGGTCAGGTACTAGAGGCTGAATTATCACACCTGTACAAGGAATTTGATAGAAGCTGTTCTGCAGTTAGTCTGAACTATGTGAGACAGTTGTAACTTTTCAAGATTTCTCACATTCTTGATTTCATTACAAAATCTAATTTGTTCACTTTGTAAATTTTGCCAGAAAATAAAATATTGAGATCAGCCCTGGGATACTGACAAACATTTAAAATTGCAAAATAAGAATAGTGTACTTTTGAAATAATTTTGGCTCTTGACTCCATATCTGCCCTTCACCATCTGTAATGTAAGTGGAAATATGCATGGAAATGTCGGAGTGAGCCTTTTAGCTGTCAGCAGTGCTAAACTGTGCATTAAATTTGCATCCCGATTAAGGATGTTTGCAGCTTATTTTGCCAAAAACAATAAACCTTTTACGTCGAGTGGTCAAATGATATAAATGACATGTGTGGGTTGTAAATGTTCGTAATGAATAATTTTTCATATGTTCAGCCTTTTCTGCTAAACAGACCATTTACAGCCAACCTCATGCTCTGTTTACTCAAAATGGAGTAAGCCAGACTTGATTCAATTGCCACTAATTTATCAACCATGGAGCATTAATAGCTGTGCATCTGCACGAGCAATCAAATTAGTCTGCAAATTCATATCGTCTCAGTTTTATGGCACCTGCTTTCATAGCAGATTTCATAGGCTTCCAGCAGCTCTCGCTTTTCAATGGCTTGTCATAGTTAGGTCTGATGGTAAATGTTAGTTTCATTAAAACCTTTGCTCACTACCACCTCCACGTGGCTGTCATATTTCTAAACTATATGGAATTTCCTAACTGTTAAAAAACCCCTTTGAAACGTGGCCAACTGCAAAACTCGTTTGAAGTCAGGTACCACCTGCCCCAGCTACTGCAGATGTGTCAGTTGTTGCAAGGGCTGCTGCATCAGACAGTGGGAGGTGAGGGGTGTGTTGTTTGTCAGAGAAAGGGCCTTAAATATCTATAGGCAAAGAAGAAGAGATGGGAAACCAAAATGGGCTGTTCAGCTGGTGAAAGAAGGAAAATAAGAGGCAATAATTTTATTTTTAGTCATTTTCAGATCTATGCCAACAAAAAAAAAAAAAGTGATATGGGTGAAAAGGACATGTACACAGTCAAAAAAATAGGAAACCAAGATGATTTAGGAGAAGGCTGAATCAGAGTGGAAAACAGAATAACCTCAGAGCAACCATCCGAGCTCAAGTTTCAGGATGACTTGTGAATTGGGGGAAAAAAAATGGCAGTGCTGTATCCAATACAATGTTACAAGCCAACCATTAACCAGTAGTTTCCCATCTGAGGTGTCCTGTGGCTGTGGAAAATAGAGCCTGTGCTGTTTAAAGACTTCAGCCTAGGCCATCATCATCGAAAGATGTTGTATCAAAAGACTCTTTTGTTAAATCAACTGGTCCTCTACCGCAGCATTCCTGTAGGCAAGGCCGATAGAGATTTTCAGGAGAGGAATCTTTGGTCAAAATAAAAATGTGAAGAAGGAAAAACAAGTTTCTTCTGTTTTCCTACAGAAATTACAATAATGCTGAAACTGATAACCAGGTTCAACCATAGCTGACAGGGAAACAGACTAAAATAGCTAAATTCTTACAAAACATACAAAAAATAATTTGAAATGAGGAGAGATCCTACAAGTGCACCTTATGGGTGCCCCAGTGACAGAAATCTTCACTGGCAAATATCTCTTTTTAAGCACTGAATTCCATGGGAAAAAGCTCAGCCTTAGTCTGAGCTTGCACATTTCCAGACATCAGTATCAAGCAGTCACACGAACCTGTAAGACTTCAAATGTCTTTAGTTCTGGTGTTCATGGGACTATTCTTTTTTTCTTGTGTTTCATAAATTACTGTGTAACTGAGACTGAAGATGGATAGAGCAGACAAAGGTACTGGCTGGAAGGGTAAGCAGTAAGTGCCCTTATATGCATAGTTGCTGTCTAAAGGATGCCATGAAAAGGTGACCTACTTGTAACCCCAACACTTTACGAACAGCCTGATTATCTGTGCAGACCAACTCTGTGTGGGAGAGATGAGCCTCCAGAATCCTGTATGTTTTCTGTTCAGTGACTACATTTTTTTGTTGTCTCCTGTTTTTTTATTTTCATCAAAAGTTCTTTGGCACTGATGTTTCATTTAGGATGAATTCCTAGCCTTTACCTATGGGACCAAAAGATTGTAGCAAAACAGTAAATAATAGATAATAATGCTATTCATTAATCTGGAGTAAGAGTATCAATTTTATGAGGAAATTGTATTTCAAGAAAAACAAACCACTGAGAGGATTGCAAACTGTTTGAAAATATATACCTTGTACAGCAGACAGCCATGTGACTCAGGAGACTAGCCAGGACATTTATCCTACTGACTGTCATTCATCTTATTCTGTCAGACATCTGACAGGTGGATTTTAAAAACTTAAATAAATGTCTGCTGCAATGAGATTTCACTCAAGGGGAAATCTGAGATAATACCAGTGTGAAAAAGCACATTTAATTCAAACAAAGTGCATCTGTGACTGTGCATTTCGGAACACCTTTCCTGTTTATCAGTATGTTTATTGTAATTTCAGCATTTCCTATTCATCTTGACAAAGATCAGACCATCATTGTAATAATCAGACAGCAAGCTATAATTTACAATAAGGAGTTTACTATGTAAATGCATGAGATGGACAGAAATTCAGGGTCAAGAAAACTATGAAGCTGTTCCTTCAGCTGTGGTCAGATCTTGATTAAGTCACTAACAAAAACTGTTAATATACTTTAAAAGACTCAAATCAGTGATGATACTCACTTTTG